TAATTTTGAGTAAAATTATTAAAAAATGAAGTTTAAAAAGTGGAATTTTTAAACGAAAATGAAAACAAAGATGGCGGCGCATACACAGACGTTGCTTGAGTGTGTCAGTGCTCCAGTAAACAGCGCCAATTCGAGCGAGTGGCCGCTGAATGAACTATGATAAAACACATTATTTTACTATTTATTGCTTTATTTTTATTATTTTTTCGTTAAGTTATTGTAAATAAGTAGAACAGCGAGATTCTTTATACCAAACTAAATCATTTCTCCAAAATTTTAACCCAAAATCATTTTTTAGTTCAGAGTAAGTTTCAAACCACAAAAAAACGTCCTTTGCCCACATACCCTTAAAACGAGCGCAAGTTTCATTGTAATTTTAAGTTTTTTTAAAAAAAATTTACCTTAAACAATTAAAAATATTATAGAACTCAACTTTCAACTCTTTTCTCCACAATGTACATATTCTATAAAGATTATATTGTGATTAAATAAAAAAATTTGAAATTTTTGAAACTTGATACATTTTTCTTGTTTTGAAGGTTTGTGTTTAACAGTGGGACACCTATTATTAAGAACCGAATAATTATTTCAATAATAATATTCTGCTTTAAACTTTGTAAATATAAATTTTTTGCATTAAATAACGTTAACAAATGTTGCAAAACACTCATAATTTAATAATATTTTACATTTTTATAATACAATGTCAAGTTTCATATAAAAAATTGCTATTATTTTTTTTCACGTTTACAGTACTGCTGATCATACGTCATAATTTGGTCATAACCTAAAAACAATTTAGAGCAAAATTTAAATAGTCGTTCTCTTATCGAGTGTTACTTTTTAAATGTTGTCGAACAATAATTGTAATAATTATTAATTATAAATTTTGAATTTTTTTTATTGTTTTTTAGCATAAAAAATCACATTTTTAGTCGCTGTGTAAGTATAAATGCGCATGCGTATAGCTGACACAACTTATAATCAGTGTTGCCAAAATCCACGTTTCATAAACTTAAATTTTTGCCCGTCCCAGTGTTTAATGTCCCACTGTTTAAATTGAGCAATCGCAAGAAATTATTTAAATAAAAATTTTTTGTGAAATTTTAAAATATTTTAAATTATTGGATATTATACTTAAAAACATGAGTAAACGAAGTAACAATTACACTTTTTTTTAAACTGTTCTATCTATATAAAAATCAGCACTGTATTTCAAGAAAAAATTTACTCTGGTACGTCAAAAACAGTTTTTTTCAATTTTCTTTGTAAATAATGAATGACAAATGTCTCACTGGAAGTTCTTTAAACTTCCCCGCAGACTTTTTTTCGGCAAAGTCATGAAATCGTCGTAGCAGACATTTCTCTATTTATAATAAAAAATAATTAAACAATAATTGATGATTTTTAACTTTCTTGTTATATCTTTGCTTTCTATGGACCCAAATGCGTGTGTATACACAATTCCAAAACGATTCCTTAATTATTGTCGAAGATAGGACAATTTATGTTTTAAAATTCAATGAAATTTGTAAATAAAATATTTAAAGTTTTTTAACTTTATTAAATAAAACATTCATTTTATAAAAAAAATATTAAAGGAAAAAAAGGATGCGCCGTCTTATTTACTATAGGGTAGTACTTTTCAAAAATCAAAATTTCGAATTTTAATTTTATGCACATTTTCATACCTTTGACTGTCAAGAAAGTAACTCGCCAAGCGTTCGTCCCCTTATTGTATGGGAGCCCTCAATTGTTAATCAAGAAGAATTGGAAAAATGTTTTTAGTCAAAATTTTATAATAATTTGCATAAAAAAATATTCTTTCTTCTACATCGTTGATTATAAACGTTTTGAACTTCATCGACATTGTATATCTGATAAATATTAATATATAAAACTTTCAAATACATCACATCACATTTTTTGATAATTAAAATAAAAATGTTTTTTTTTCCATCTCTTTTTTATGTTTTATAATTAATAGAAAATTCTCAACAAAATTAATTATTCTAAATACAACAGAAATCAGTAATAAATTTTCACAATATTTATGTAAGAAGAAAATAAAATTTTACCGCATTAAAAAGAATTACAATAAGAATTATTTTTGCGTGCACTTTAAATGCAAATATGACTCTTATGAAAAAAAACTAATGTGATTCCTTTTCGTGCGGACGGACACATATGTAGATGTAAGAAATCAAATATTAATATAATTTTACTGTAAAAATTCAACCTTATTTGAAGTAAAAAAATGAGTCTTATTAAATATATAATTTCTTGAATTAAAAATTAAAATTTATTTTGATAATTAAATAATAAATATTTATTTATTATTATTATTATTATTTTAACATTTATTATTAATCATTAATATCATTATTTAAGTAATAATTGTGAATATATATAATTAAAAAAATAATAAATTGAGTTATTTCAATTAATTAAATTTTTAAAAATTCCTTTCTCTCATTTTTATATACTTATTATTACTGTTCTGCATGTTTCATTATTTTTAATATTACATTTTCTTCTCTCGCATAACAGTTTTTTTTTTTTTTTTTTTTTTAAATAATAATATTTTACAATCTTTTTTTATGATGACGAAAGTTTACTCTCAACATCAAGGATGCAAAAAGCGTGATGTTTATTTTTGGAATTCAAGATATTTGCAATAAAGCGCTTTTCTATATTTGAAATAGAGAGAAAGAGAGAGACAATAATACAGCTTTATGCACTAGAAATGAATGTTTCATTTTAAATCGTTTTCCGTCTCTCGTGAGAACAAACTTTATTTTTAAGCAATCAGACTATAAAAAACAGTCTATAAAGTTTTTTTTTTATGAAAATACACCAGAAATTGAATTTTTCTTTTTACAAATTACTTATTGGGATGAAACTATATAATATTTGTATTATATAATTTATACTATAAATAAATAATAATAATAATAATAAATTTTTACAATTTTTTTAATTTACAAGTTATAATTAACTCTCTGCTTATGCTAATTATATTATATATGTATTATTTTTTTTATCTATTATTTTAGATTCATAAAAAACTATAATAAAAGAACAACGAAAAATTAAGTTTCATAATTGCGCTTTAACTACGTTTTAATATTCCTTTTTTTCATATTCTCTTCCAAGAATAACGTTTTAGAAAAATAAAGGATTAATTGCACCGAGGAAATTCTAATTTTTCAATAACAAAATTCCACTTGCGTATAATATTATGTAAATTTCATATTTGTGAGAAAATTATTGATTTTCTTATTGTAATAAATTTTGTTCTATACAGGAATTCGTATATAGAATTATTATAATCATTTTAAATATATTTGCTTTTTAAAGCAAAAAAAAAAAAAAAAATATTTTTATAGACAATTAGAAAATTACTTTAATAATAAAAAACAATTTTAAAGAAATAATTTTTTTTTCTTTATAAAAAAAATTTGAAATTTCATAAGTATTTTCTTATTATATAATTTGTCCAAAAAAATATCAAAAGACGTGCGTCCTCTCTGGTAATGATAATTTTACACTAATACTTGATTACTAAATTATGTAACCGGATGGATACAACGAATTTTTTCTCGTAAACAATAAAAGTATATAATATTCTTGTAATATAATGATTTGCATGATGTAATACAAAAAAAAAATTAAGATGTTCTCAAAGCTAACAAAAATCTTTAAATCAGTAAAAAAAATAAAAATTATTCAAGCGCGAATGATATACATTTTATTCTTATATATACAGTTAAAAAGTACCTAGTATTTTTAAAATAAGAAAAAATTTCTAAATTTAGATTATAGTTTTATCTTCACCTTGAAAAATATTTTCAAGAATACATTCTAATTGCATGTGAATAAAATAATGAATGAATTATATTTTTAATCAGCAGCCGCAAGATTATATTCTTATATATAAAATTAGAATATCGTTTTTTCATTGTTAACTAATTAATTGGTTTCTCCATTATTTAACATGAACTTGATGAAATTTTAAAGAAACACACCGATAAAAACGAGAATCAAATTTTTAATTGCATTTCACTTTATATATAGGATATAATGTATAACATTTTCCCTCGACCTTATGACCTTTGTACAACTCACCATTTAACCTTTGTGTTAAATTTCCGCTAATTAGTTTTACCTCTCAATTTAAATATTAATTCTAATTTTAATTTTCACTTAACTCGAAATTAAAAATAGCCCAAGTAATTATCGATATTTTTCGAGTTCAACAATTTCTTCATTTGAAATAAAAATTTAATTTATTAAATCAAGCGTATATTTAATTATATATAGAAAGAAGTTTAAGAATAAGTTAAAATTTTTTTCCATCGTGCTATTACTATTTTGCAGATTATTTATAAAATAAAATAAATAATAACATTAATTTTAATTATTTAACGAATTTAATTAACATTATTAAATAATTAACATTGAAACATAACCAAATGGAAAGAATACGTTAATTAATATATAAAGTAAGTTAATAATTTCTTGAAAATTTTCTATTAAACAGAAATATATTTCTTCTTTTAAGGGTCTCAATATCTGACAATTAAATCTTTTTAACGCCCTATTGAAAAAAATGATTCTTCACCTTTATTTATTTTTTTTTTTTAACTATTAAGGTGGATTTTAATAGGATTTAATCTTTTCAGAATATTTAACGATTCTCTCTTGCCGTCATATTCGATGCTATTATTAATTTTTAAATTTTATTTCAAATGCCATATACGAAACGCAAATAAAAGCATTTAGTTTTACTGCGATTTATTTCTGACGAGATTTAAAACATTTTTTTTTTCAAGAGGAACTTAAATAAAAAAATATATTAAATACATTTAAATTAATTAATGAAATTAAAATAATAATAAAAAATATAGAAATAAATTTACTAAACTATTGAAATTTTTTATTTATACAGAAGAAGAAGAAACAAATTTTAAAAATATTATTAATAATCTATTTTTCAGGGTGGTTATCCAGCAAAATTGAAGAAAGTACTCATTGTTACGGCACCATTGTGGTTCAAGGCACCATTCAAAATTCTCCGTTTATTCGTACGAGAAAAATTGCGAGACAGAGTTTTTACAGTATCCATTCCTCAATTAACGCTTCATATTCCACGAGAATCGTTGCCACGTCGTTTAGGTGGTTCCTTGGAAATTCAGCATGAAGCATGGCTTCTCCATTGTTTTAAATCTATGACGAATCGGGGAGGGGGTGAACTTTGCGAGGTCAGTATATTCTCAATTAATAATCAAATTTTTAATATTTATTAAAAAAATTAAGTTTAATTTAAAATAATAATTCACAACATTTCAGATCAACGATTAGAAAAGAAAAATAATTTTTAAGATGGGAAAATTATAAAAATATTTTCTCAAAAAAAAAATTTTTTTTTTTAAGATTTTTAGATATTTTTTAGATTATAAATTATAATCGTTGTAAGAAATATTCTTGAAATTTAAATTTAAATTAAAATTATCGACAAAAATTAATTTTAAATATTTAAACAATATTTACTTTATTTTACAAAATTCACAAAGAAAAGAATTTTAAATTCAAAAATATTTTTAATTGAACCGAAATAAAATTTAATCAACTTTATCAAAAATTAAATTTTTTTATTTATTCGAGAAAGACATTTTTGTGGCTTTTAAAGCTCCTTTTAAGAGAATTCTTTTAGGATTATGTTGAAAATCTTTAACGAAATCTTTCTAAATTCAATGTCCTATATGAGTTGAGAGCTTTTAAATTAAAGTGTCCAGTTTTCTTTGAAGAGCTTTGAAGCACACTGCTTTAAAATTCAGTTAATTAAATTACCATTTATTTTTTTTTAACGACTTTACTGTAGCAGTATCATCCCCTATAGCTGCTTGAGAAACATACAATTAGTCGCCTGTCAATTGCAAGGTTTCATTTCAAAAGTATTTACTTAAAGTCTTAAAAAAATTTTATGGTTTCCTATATATATTTATAAAGGCCTTCAGGCATATCTATTGTCACGTCACTGTGACTAATTAATAAATCAATAATTATTATTAAGAAATTAAATGCTACAATTGCGTGGTGAATAAATTTTTTTTTTTTTTTTATTAATAACATAATTATTACCACAAGTCAGGAAATTTTTATTCAAAGAAACCACAAATTACATATCAAAATTTTACTTCTTTAAATAATTTCAGAAAACTAACCAAACCTTATTTGCTTAGTAAAGAATTTATTTTTCATTTATATATGAAATTTTTATTAAAAAAAAATATATATATATAAAATTAAATAATTAAAAAATTTATTAGGGAAAAAGAAAAATTAATCATGAAAAAGTCAAAAAATTTTATAAATGAAATTCTGCTGCCACTCTGACAATAAAATAAAATAATCGATAATTTAGTTTCTAATTTCGATTGTACTCAATATTAGTATCTATATAAATATAAATAATATTTTGATAATTTTTCTAAATTTGTAGGTTACCCCGCGGGCGGGTACACCTCTTTCTCCGACGTCAAAGAATCACACATTGCATCAGAGTCCAAATGGAACTCCAATTAGCAACCCAACTAGTCCTATGGCGGATAAGAACAAAATCAAAAATGGTATGGCAAATATTGGAGACATTGAGATTACAAATGGCGACACGTGGAGTGGAAATGACGAAGCTCCATCACCAGTTCAGCCTCCGTCCTCAGCCAGTTCAGGTTTTAGCGATGATGATAGTCTTCATGGCGACTTGGGTCTTCAGGCAGTTAGCATGGAACAACTCGTCGAGACGATACATTCAAGAGGTCGCGCTGGACTCGTAGCAGAGTATGCTGAAATTAGACAAAGACCGCCCGAGGGTACATTCAATAATGCCAAGTACGTCTCCGCATTCATTATTAATATAAAATTCAAGGGAAATAAATTTACTTTTCATCCACAAAATATATTAAAAACAATGATGAAAAATTAATTAATTCCAAGCATCAATTGTTGAGAGATGAAAATTAAATTTTTTTTTCTCTAAAAGAAAATTATTCTTTTGCTGCTTTTATCCTAGTAGGGGAAAATTAAGTGCGATTCAATTTCGCAAGTGATTTTCACTCACTATTTTCGGTGAAAATCATTGATTCGAATCAGATAAAAATAAATTATTTATAAATTATTAGAGACCAAAAAATAATGAAAATAAAAGATAATTGAAATTTAAAGTTAATAAATATTCTTGCATTTCAGGATTAGATCGAATCAATCAAAGAACAGATACACAGACGTGTTGTGTTACGATCATAGCAGAGTTTGTTTGTCCTTATTAGATGGTGATCCAACGTCTGATTATATTAATGCAAATTTTGTTGACGGATACAAACAAAGAAATGCATTTATCAGTACTCAGGGTCCACTTCCAAAAACGTGCGGTGATTTTTGGCGAATGATCTGGGAGCAACAGACACTCGTCATCGTCATGACAACTAGGTATAAAACTAATAATTTCGAATATATGAAAATCAAACAAAATATAATTAAGTCTTCAATTACTTCTTCAATAGTAGGAAAAATATCACTGATTTCGATTAGTTAACAAGTTTTCACAATTTTAATCATTTCACACAGTGAAATTTTCATGAGATTTTATTTATTTATTTATAAACAGGACAAGTCCTTTTGTAAATAAGTATACTATTAAAACTAAGCGTAAAAAAGAGATTTCACTCATTTGAAATAAAATCAGTAAATACTTAATTATTATTATTTATATTAATTATAATAATAATTAAAAATTATTATTTAAAACTAAAGGGTAGTCGAGAGAGGACGTACAAAATGTGCACAATATTGGGGTCCGGAACCTGGAGATGAAGTATCAGCAGGTGGCTTCACTGTAACTACCTTGGAGGTAGACACGAATCCGGATTACACAATATCAAAACTCCTACTCGCCAATAACAAGGTTTTTATTCACACTTTATTTTAAATTTAAAAATTATTTAAATATTCCTTCAAATTAAATTTAATGTAAATTAAAAATTTCAAATAACATAGTAGTGTATATTAATTTAGAGCAAAAAAATTTAGTACAAAATAGAAATAAAAAATGGTATTTGTGTGAAACTAATAATTAAAACTTAAAAATTTTTATTTTGAGATTACTTTGAATTACCACTTTAAAGATACCATTTTTCAAAACTACCATTGTTTCAAATTATCAATTAATATAATAAAATTACCATTAATTTAAATTATTATTGGCTCAATCCATTATATTTCATAAAAAATATAGTGGTCTACTTTTAGAAAAATTTAATAATTTGTACTAAATACATGTTGTATTTATATGTATTTGTATTATAGAATACTTTTTGGAAATAATTTTAAAAAATTTTTTGTATTCACATAGGAATTTGAATTCTAAAGTTGAATGAAAAAAAAAAATACATTGAATGTACATATAGGGGAGAGTGACAAACAGTGGGACAGTTTAAACAGTAGAACACTTTAATTTTCTGAAAAACTACTTAAAGAAACTAGACCAAAATTTAAATGTAAACCATGTTTATGAAAACACACTATCTCCAAAAATTTTAACCACGTTGATTCATTATTTACAAAGAAAATTGAAACAAACTGTTTTTGACGTACCAGAGTAAATTTTTTCTTGAAATACAGTGCTGATTTTTATATAGATAGAACAGTTTAAAAAAAAAGTGTAATTGTTACTTCGTTTACTCATGTTTTTAAGTATAATATCCAATAATTTAAAATATTTTAAAATTTCACAAACAATTTTTATTTAAATAATTTCTTGCGATTGCTCAATTTAAACAGTGGGACATTAAACACTGGGACAGGCAAAAATTTAAGTTTATGAAACGTGGATTTTGGCAACACTGATTATAAGTTGTGTCAGCTATACGCATGCGCATTTATACTTACACAGCGACTAAAAATGTGATTTTTTATGCTAAAAAACAATAAAAAAATTCAAAATTTATAATTAATAATTATTACAATTATTGTTCGACAACATTTAAAAAGTAACACTCGATAAGAGAACGACTATTTAAATTTTGCCCTAAATTGTTTTTAGGTTATGACCAAATTATGACGTATGATCAGCAGTACTGTAAACGTGAAAAAAAATAATAGCAATTTTTTATATGAAACTTGACATTGTATTATAAAAATGTAAAATATTATTAAATTATGAGTGTTTTGCAACATTTGTTAACGTTATTTAATGCAAAAAATTTATATTTACAAAGTATGAAGCAGAATATTATTATTGAAATAATTATTCGGTTCTTAATAATAGGTGTCCCACTGTTAAACACAAACCTTCAAAACAAGAAAAATGTATCAAGTTTCAAAAATTAAAAATTTTTTTATTTAATCACAATATAATCTTTATAGAATATGTACATTGTCGAGAAAAGAGTTGAAACTTTATAATACCAAAAAAAGTTCAAAAATATATAAGTGTCCCCCTATGAAAATAATTACTTTAAAATGAAGTTTTGAGAATTTTGAATGATTTTAAAATAAAAAACTTATAAATGAAAATTTGCAATTTTTAATTACAGACTGAAGAGACAAGAGAAGTTTGTCACATGTTGTATACTGCTTGGCCAGATTATGGAGTACCTCAGTCAGCAAGGGCTTTATTACAGTTCCTTTCATTAGTACGACAGCAACAAAATTCACTTTTAACTAGTAGAGGCGATACCTGGGCTGGACATCCTCGGGGACCCCCTATTGTTGTACATTGTAGCGCAGGTATTGGCAGAACAGGTAAGTCATTCATAATTATAGTAATTTGTCTTTCACTGAAATTTCAAATTTTTACTATAATTTTACAACTTCTTTTCATCAAATCTTTTACTTAGGCCACTAACCCAAACCAATCAACCAATCCTATTTGGATTACTCCAACGAAAATCATTTAGACTGGGTTGCGTCATTATTTTAAAAAAAATTTGCAATCAATATACAATATTTCTCTATGCACATTGCTTTTTATTCAAAAGTTTATTTAGTAAAATATCTTTTATTTTTTAAGAAAATAATTTTTCTATTTTAATCGGCTATAATAAGTTAGTTCTGACAGTATTTAAAAAAAAAAACACAGAAAAAGTGAAAAAATTAATTAAATCAAACATTTTTGAAAAGTAGATACACACTGATTATGTCAAACTAAACATAAATTTTTAGAAAATTGCTCAAATATTTTAATCACGGTTTTAATCCTTTTGTACAGTGATAAATTGATTTTTTCATTTTTGAATATTTTCAATAAAAACAAATAAAAAGTTTAAAAATTAATTTATAATTTAAACTTTTAAAAAAAGTAATGTTTAATTTGTATAAAAATTACAATTATATTCACAGTGATATTTTAATGGGATCTCGTCTCATTAATAATTTTAAAAACCCTGAAAATAATGCAAATTTAATCTAATTTAGATTCAATTTTTGTTGAATATCAACACTTAAGTTAATCAATCTAAACTTTATTCTAGATATCAAACAAAAATTGAATGTAAATTAGGTTAAATTTGTATTATTAAATATACGATTAAAACAGAGATTTAAATATTTAGTTGAGTAATTTTGTAAAAATTCATGTTTACTTTGATATAATTAGTATCTACTTTTCAAAAATATATCTTTTTATTTCTTCTTTGATTTCAACTATATTGCCAAAAACTAACCCGCTTTAATCCAGTAAAATTTAAAAATTATTTTCTTAAAATATAAAAGATATTTTACTAAATAAACTCTTACAGTTTTTTTTTTTTAAATAATGACCTTTATACTTTCAATAATAATAATATTTTATTCTAAACATATTTTGATGATATCAAATTAATATATTAATTAAATTTAAGAAAATTTAGTAAAATTTAAATATTTATTTTATTAAAATCCAAATTAGTTGGCAATAAAATTTGATTGTAATCACTTCGGATAAGATTTGAGTATAGATATATTTAAATGAAAAATTAATTTTAAAAATTTTTTAAAAAGACGTAACTTAACTGTTGGAAGATTTGATGAAACCAATAAATTGTTTTTAGGAACATTTTGTACTTTGGATATTTGCATATCTCGACTGGAAGACACAAATACTGTAGATATCCGAGGAACAGTTGAAAGAATTCGAACACAAAGGGCTTACAGTATTCAAATGCCAGACCAATATGTCTTTTGTCATCGTGCCCTGGCGGAATATGCTCTTTCCAGAGGTATGCTGAGTCCACAGCATCTTGCCATGTTACCACCCACCATCGAAGAGGACTCCGACTAGGTTTAATTTTATTAGAAACACATTTTTAGATTGATATACTTACCAATAATAGGTATATTCTTGCATTTCCCTTCCATTTTGTCAGGTTTCAAACCAAATCATCATCAGATAACGAATGAAAATAATAATAATAATGTTATCGAATTAAAATCATCAGTTTGCTATCATCATCGCCATTATATATATATATATATAAATGACTTTGAATAATATTTCTCATGTTCTCCTAAGTCGGCCTGTTAGCTAGGAAAGACGAAAAAAAAATTCCCGTCAAGCACAAGATACCGGAAATATATAAGCAGATGAGAATTCTCTATAATTTTTGGGGAATTCTCTCTGATCATCAAATGCAAATCAATCAAAATGAATGGATCAGTAAGATGTTTCAGACAAGTTTCTTTTTTTTCTCTATAATCCACTATACAGCCAAACTAAACTTAGAAATTGATTAAATCTTTATTAATTTCCAAAATTATATACACATTTGTATATTTCCAGAAGAGGATTTTTTTCTCTTTTCGTGAGTTTGTATATGGAATTCTCCGCTTCTTGATGAGATATCTTACAAAAGAAGAAAATATTTTGAGGAATGCAGTTTGTTGAGCTTGACCCAAAAAAAAAGTGACGAATTTAAAAAAGACTAAACTTTAAGGAATTTAAAGGCTAATTTAAGTAGCGTTTTCTTAAAAAACGAACACGAGAGAATTTCTTTTGTAAAGAAATTTAATTTCAATTTTTCAAGTTTTTCAATTATCAAAATGCTTAAGCATCAGAGAGGATAAGAAAAAAAAATTCTTTTTTTAAAAAAGACAAAAACAAAAGGAATAATTAATAATTACAATAAGCACCAATTTTTAAAGAGCTAGGCGATTGATGATAAACCAGATAGGCATTTTTGGGTAACCAAAGATTACTTTCTATTCTGCCATAGAGATCAAAACTTGCCAATGATAAAATGTATTGGTCCTAAATGATGTTATCTTCCAAGGACTTGAAATCAAGAATCACTTTGACATTTTTTTAATTTAGAATTTTAGACATACATCAAAAAATAAAAAAAAAAAAGAAGAAGAAAAAGTCAGGACAATATTTGAAAACAGGAGTCCCTCCCTCCCTAAAAAAATTATGCAAATGAATTTTAATTTTGCCTATAAACTCTTTTCTAATCTATAGCTTCGATGTGCCTATTCAAATGTCTACCTAGAAACAGTGTTCCTCTTAAATCCATTGGATGTTGATCAAAGTACACACAGGAGAAAAGCACCAATGGTATCATTATATTAAAAAAAAAATACTACTTTGTCAGTTTGCAAACTCAAAACAAAAATTCTCTATATTATTATTAAATGATAATTGTCTACGAAAAACTAAACTTGTTACTGTGTCATTTTTGGAAAAATGAAACCCTGTAATTTATGAATAGTCGATTTTTACTCGATACGTGTTTATGATAAACGCCTTCCCCCTCCCACTCTATCAGATGTGCTAGAACCTGTGATTTAAAAGAAAAAAAAAAAAAAAAAAAAAAAAAACATCCAATTGTACTTTGGAAATTTTACACGAAGTTTTTACTTGCAGAAGCTTTCTTGACTGATACCTTTAGAGAAAAAAAAATTACTTTGTAAATGTGATTATCAAGCCTGCAGATTTTAATTTCTATTCATTTTTTAATGAATTTTTATTTATATTACATGTTTTTTTTTATATTAAATTTTATTTTTTATTTAAGGTACACATATTTTTTATGTGGATAATGCAATATTTTGAATACTTTTGATCAAAATAGAGCAATTTTTATGAAATCTGAATATTATCGATAAAGTTTTAATACTTTTTTTAAACTCTATTTTTAATGAAATTAGAGTACTAACACTGAAATCTGAGTATTTTTTTAAATTAGAATATTTTTAATGAAATTTATTTCTTCTTAATCCACAATGATTTTTTTTTTAATTAAATTTGTATTCTCTTGTTGAAATTATAATACTTTGGATAAAATAATAATAATTATTATTATTATTTTAATGAAATCTGAGTATACTTGAAAAAAAAGCTGAGTACTTTTGAATAACTTTTGGGAAAATATCACTATTTGTTTAAAACTTGAAGATTATTATTTTATTAAAAGTTTTAAGTCCTCTTGATGAAGTTTCAGTACTTTTAAAAAAATCTGAGTAATTTTTAAAAAACAAGAATATTTTTGTTCAAATTTGAATATTTTTTTTAAGAATTTATCTGCAGACTTGTAAGAAAAAACAAATCATAATGAATAGTATACTTTAAAAACAGTAGTAAATTTAGAAGACAATGTAGATTTGTATTTGCGGGTAAAGATTTTGCATAAAACAATAGAAATAAATTTTATCAAAAAAAAAAAAAAAAAAAAAAAAGCTTCATTAATGTTGGAAACTATTGTCATACGACTGTAAACTTGAAATTAACGTTTGTGTTCTTCCATTCGCTGTTACGCGCGATATCTGACTGGTTATTATATAAAAAATGATCTGAAATTGGAGTAAAAAAAATATTATTTTTTATTAAATTTGAGCTTTAAATATATATATATATATATATATATATATATATATATCGAAAAAGAATTAAGAAAAATAAGCTCAAATTTGAAAAGAAATTTTTTTTTCGATTCTAGTTAGTGATGCGTCCACATGTTTGATACACAATATTGAATTCAAGTTTAAAAAAATAAATTAAATAAACAATTATAATTGATTGAATACAAAATTGTGTGTGAAATTTTGTCAAAAAATCAAGTTCTCCGTCTCACGCGAAAATTTAGCGTATTGTTATAATTATAATAAAACAAAAAAACAAAAAAAAACAAACAAATGTAATCATTGTCATAAATTATAATTTATTTCCAGTGTGAAGACATAAATGTATGGTGTTGATAATATTGTTGATGTACAATGTCAGTGAGGAATATCACTCATGGATTTTTAAAATGCATTTTTATATGCATTTTTATATCTTTGTGATTCGTAAAATATTTGTGTTTTGATATTCTTAAAAATATGAAACTTTCGAAAAGCAACTTGAAGAAATGATTTTCGATGATATAGAAAAAGATGAAAACGTTAATACTATACTGACTAACACGGGTCCATGAATGTGAATACCTGTCCAGGGCATATTACAATTATTATTATTATACTTATTAATTTCATTATTGACGCATTATTTTATTATTTACTGTCTACATTTATAATTAGATATGTTAACTAGCTATTTATTGCAAATTGTCAAGGAAAAAAAAAAGAATTCTATTGTGGTCTTGCTTTTTTCGAGGGTTGTACTATATACCTCCAAAAAAATCAATTGTATTTTTGTTGGACATGATTTTAACAGTATTCTTTTTTATACGAAACTCGATTATTAGCAAGAAAAAAAAAGGAATGAAAATAATAACAATAGTTTATCTTTGGTTCTTGTATTTGTTTAGAACTGTGTGAATGAAATGAGCCATTTTTTTTATTTATTTTTTTTTTTTTTTTTGTTTAAAGTCAGGTGATGTCAGTGTTCACAAAATGACTTTTCTCAGAAAGTCTTTTGGATATTGAATCTTCGGATTGGTACAAAAAATTAATTAAGTAATAAAAAAAAATTATTTAAAACTACCTTCTCATTCGTTGAGAACGTTAAAAAAAGAGTTTAAAAAAAAATTTATAGAAGAAAATTTTTCCCACGTCACTCTGTTCTTTGAGAAGATGTGTAAAACGTTTGCGAAAAGAATGATTATATATTGTATGGATTATGTCGATTTTCTGATTTATTCAGAAATATAATATGAAATAGCAAAAAAAAGCAGTCTAAACGTTTCATTTAATTTGTATTTCTGTAAAAGTTTTCCGTTTAAATTGCAATTTTTAGACAAAATAATGAAAAATCAAGGGAAAAAAAACGATTTTTTTTAATAATATTTTTAACGAATTAGAAAAGAAATTTCCAGGACATTAAATTATGTCCTGCGTTTAATTGATTGCTGCTAGTTTTAAATACAGTTTAAAAATGAAAAAAAATATTCATGCGAAGTATAACACCACGTATATGTCAGAAATACAATGATAAGAAACGTGAAAGTGAAACGTTGAAGGTGAAGATAAAAAAAAAAAAAATTAAAAATTGTATATACCGTGACCTCGAATTAATGTCGCACATTGTATCTAATTATTAATAATAATAATAATTTAATATATTGCAAATATATATATATACTTTATTGTCTCTTCTTACTAAAATCGTAGACCCTAAAATATATAATACAAAAATTTTATATTCTCTATACTTTAATTAATTATTTATTATTATTTATCAGTATTAGAAGAACTATTTCTTAAATTAAAAAACTATTGGTAAATTTATTTATAATCATTACAATAAATTTAAATTTAGTCTGAATCTAATTTATACAAATAGTGTTCAATAAATTTTTATTTTCTTTTGAATTTGTATTCATTTACAATAAAAAGTTGTTTTATTTTTAATAAAAATGTATAATTTATTTTAAAACTTTGCAAAATCTTATTTTACAAATTGCTTATAAATTTCTCAAATATGTGCAAAATTTCCATTTTATGTAGAAAATTTAATCTTAACTGCAATGTTAACGAATAGTGAATGGTTTTAATTAAATACCCTGCTTATATTAGTTTCATCTGTCAAAGGGAAATCGCATTATATCTCGCGATAAAATCAGAAATTAAATTTAAAGAAAAATGTTATCTTTATAAAACCTCATGAGTTAATACGATACTGTCGAAAGACCAAAGTTTCTTCATTGCCCAGGTTATCTCAATATCAAGAGTTTCAAAAGTAATTTTTGAAAATTTTTATTTAGTTTCCAATTGTTAATTAAACTTAAATTTATATAACAAAATTATTATTATCATTATTATTATTTATATTATTATTTTTATTATTATCAGAAGAACATTATAGTCATAATTTTTTACTATTGATGACATATTGTTTCTTGATAAAGGAATAAGTATGTTTAGTATTAATTATTACCAATATTACTTTTTATTATAATCTAGCTATTGAATCATTACATAATTATTACAGAAAAATGATCATCATTTTGAACAACATCAACAATTAAAAATAAGTGGAAAACGGTCCTGCAACAGACAACAATAATTGGGGATCTTTTTCTCTCTCACTGTCCGTGTACGCAGACGCAGAACGCGTCATCAGAGTCAGTGCCAAAAGTTTTAGGTTTTATGCTCTCTATGTATACATAGAGCCACAATAATAGCAGCATGAGAAAAATATACGCATGCTCTAATTAATGTGTTAGGTTCAATTGTAACTTGAATAAATAATTTGATAATAGTCGAAATATGCATCATTAGTGGATATAATATCAAATATCATTAGATATCTTCAGCAACATTTTTATTATTATTCTCAATATCATTATTTCCATTAACATTATGATTACCATTGTGATCTTTCATCAACTTTCATAGCATTTTCGTCTTTATCAACATGGTAAATTATGCGGTTAATTCTCTCAAAAAGGACAAATCAAAGCGTGCACGATTTTAGACGGTGTTTTTGTTAAAAAATAATAAAATTAATTCCATTTAATAAAAATCTGCCAGCCATACGATAAGATTTAACAATTTTCAATCGGATCCCTAATGAAGATTTCAAAAAAAAAGTCAAATAACTGAATTATTTAATAAAAAGTAGTGTTAAAACTCCCCTCCGTAACATCAGATTATATTCAATATTTCAGTTATTTGAACTTTTTTGAATTTTTCTTTAGTGATCCGATTGAAATTTGTTAAATCTTAACGTATGGCTAACAGAATTTTTAATAATTTCAATTAATTTTATTATTTTTGAACAAATTACCGTGAAAACGTGATTTATTCTTTTTGAGTGAATAACCCTGTAAATATTATTATCTCTTTAAATTTCAAGGTTAGTATTAGTTTAATTTTATTTATTAACATTGTCATTATAATCATAGTCATATCAAATTATATCTTATTGTCATTAACATCCCGAGTCGAAATTTTAATACTCGATTAATTCTCCCTATTGCTGATTGAATACTAATTAGTCCTCAGCATCCTCTTTTAATTCTTCTTTATTCATAATTAGTCCTCAGTTTATCCTCTGTGCTTTTTCAATAAAATTTGTGTGTCGGATTTTCATCCTCTTTTAGATCAATATCTTTATCTACATAGATATTGTCATAATCCTCAATATTGTTTCCATCACTTTTAACATTATTCTCTTAACCTTAGCATCGTTATCATAATTATCTTTATGAACATATTTTATCATCATTTTCGACATTATGATCTTAATTATTAAACTTGTTATCATCATTAAATTTATTAACATTGTTATTACCATCTTACTTAACATCGTTTTCAACATTTTACTTATATCGACATTTTCATCATCATCTTCAACAACATCGTTATAATCAGCATTATTATTATCATTATCTTAAGGGGTTAGACCACACACTGTAAAATTTAAAAAAAAATCGAATTTTTTTTGCTAAAAAAGTGCCTTAGGGTGTTATAAATAAGAAAAGATCCTATGAGCTCTAGTTTTTGAGAAAAACGGTTTACAGTGTCAAAAAATCGCACTTTTGGCAAACTTTTAGTACATCTAGCCACTGAAACGAAAGGTCGTAAAACCTTCCACTTTTGGGCTTAAATTGAAGCTTTATGTTTTTACTATAATCCCCAAAAAAAGAACCTTTATGGGACAATGACCTCAAAGTCATTTGTATTATACATTTTTGAGTCGCAAAAATTAATTTTAGAAAAGTTTGAGCGCGTACCGCTATAAATAAAACAAAAGGGCTTAGATTACAATCCCTAAAAATTATATTGATGCAACAATAACCATTGTTAAAATAGCTTCCTTTGTAGAAAAAAACAATTTATTATTAATGACTTTGAGGTTAAGGTGCTGGAAATTAATTTTCAAGGATTGTACTCTAAAGTTCAAACTTTAGTTTAAGCCAAAAAAAAGGTTATATATAGGACCTTTCATTTCATCGCTGTAGGTACGCACTCAGATTATTCCAAAATTAATTTTTGCAACTCAAAAATGGATTACAAATTACTTTGAGGTCATGGTGTAAGAAAGGTGATTTTTGGGGATTATAGTTGAAATATTAAGCTTCAATTTAAACCCACGTGGAAGGTTCTACGACCTTTTGTTTCACTGCTAGAGGTAATTTGACAAAAACTCGATTTCTTGACATTTTAAACCCGTTTTTTTCAAACATCAGAGCTGATAGAAATTTTTTCTTTACGGATTCGTGTTCAGTAGGAAAAAACCTATCAGAAACAGCTTTGACATTTGCCACACCAAAAAAAATTTCTAATTTTGTTGACTTGTGATTATAAAGGCACTGTATATCACAGAAACGTATACGTGTACGCGTTTTTCTCAAAACCAAGTTTTTCAAACTGGCCAGTAACTTTTTTCGTATAATTTTTGACCAAATTAGCTAAAAATTGGTTTACAGCTTTAAGATAACATTCTTATGAAGCTGAAGTACGCAACGTTTATGATAAACGATTTTTAAAGTAATAATTTTTAAAATGAAAAATTTTATAATTTTTTGCCTAAAAAATATTTTTTTATAATTTGTTAATTAATGAAAACTACAAGAAATATTTTTTAAGCGAAAAATTATAGAATTCTTCATTTTAAAAAATTAATTCTTTAAAATCGCTTATCATAAACGTTGCGTTTTTTTTATTAACAATTTTGTACCGATTTTTTTTTACAAAAAAATTATTCCTTACGTACTTCCAAAGATTTTGAGTTATAAATGAAAAAAAAATTTGATTTTTTCTAAGTCAAAAACTGAAAAAGATTTTTTACCGGCTGTACACCTCTGCATAAAAAAGGGTTTTTATGGATCGACTTACAGCGCTGCAATTTTATTTTTTTAACTTTTGAAAATAATTTTTTAGTAGTTTAATATGTACTTAACAATAATATATGTGTACGTCCGCATGAAAAGGGACCACTTTGTCGATTTTATTTTAGGAGATAATCGCAATTTTCTAAAAGTGGTTCAGATTCAGATTTATTGAAAGTCAAACTACAAAGTGTTCACAATGACTTCGTAGTAATTAAAACAACTTATATTCTCATTTTTAATTAACATGGGAACTAATGGTAGATTTGAACTTTAAAACTCGTTTTTGTCTAAATTAGATTTTTGGCACTTCTAACTTTGAATCTCTATAACTTCGCAAATTTTTCACTCAGAGGGGCTTAAGACACATATAATTGATTTTTTAATTCATTTTATTTTGATCTTGAAAAAAAATCTTAAAAATTCGTCTGATTTTCGGTCTTCACAGTGGTCTAACCCCGCTCAACATAATAATCTTCATTATAACATTGACATCATCAATATATCTTCATCAAAATTCTGATCATGATTCTGTGAATCACATTATCATTGTTATATCCTCATAGTTATCATTATATTAGTAGTATCTTGTTTTATCATCATTAGCAATACAACTGTTCATTATCATGATATTTATACTTTTCTTCAAAATTATCACATATCTTCACCTCTCAAAATCCTCAAACATAATCTTCATTTGCAGGATAAAAATCATCATTATCATCGCATCAGCATGTACCAGTTGAAGAATGACGAATATCCCTGGGTTCAACGATTGGTGACTCCATTCCTGGCCGCAACTTTCCCTTTACTGTTTGCCCCTTACCACCAAGTCTCACAATAGATTGATCCTTGAGGTTGCATGCACCGTGGCTACACCACGAATATCTCGTAGGATCGTGATCACAGCACAGGCGCAGTGTCGTGGTGGGCCATCAGCCGAGAAACATCAATGGATAGTCATAGCATAAGATGGCAGACTGCGAGTCGGAAGTGCAGCAGCCTCGAACGCCAGTGACCAACTTTGACGGAATGAATACAACGTCAGTGACGATGGTCAATAATGGCCGTGTGCCTCATCAGCACTCTACAGTAAACACCTCGGACCCAATTGGACAGGGACCAAGGTGCGTCACAATTTACAAGACTGAAACCGGGTTTGGGTTCAACGTACGCGGCCAGGTCAGCGAGGGTGGACAACTCAGGAGCATCAACGGGGAACTTTATGCACCACTTCAACATGTCAGTGCTGTTTTGGCCCAAGGTGCTGCTGAAAAGGCCGGTGTTCGTAAGGGCGATCGCATTCTCGAAGTGTAAGTATTTAAACCTTCTTGACAATCATATACATACTCTTCCCCTACTGGAGTAAATACCTACTCCACTCTATTCTTATCCTGGATTCTCACACAAATACCATGTCTTCTCTCGACGTTTTCTTCATTATAAATTATTTATCATTTATCCATCAATGATATACGCACGAATACGCAATTACCGCATCTACTACTCACTTGAGACAATGAATCAAATGCTAACTTGAAAAAAAATTGCTTTGATTGTGTGTAGGATGCTTATATAGACCTCTTTGCCAATTATTCAAAGATATAGACACACACTAAAGAGAGAAAGAGAGACAATTGATTGTTCGAAAATAGGCTCTGGAATTTAGCTTCTATATTTGTTTGGTCTTCTTTAATCTTTTTTGATGGACTTGCGACCTGATCATAATCTTATATATATATATATATATTATATTCATAAAATTGTGCTCGTTATTTGCGGGTCAAGTGGTAATTGAGCATAAAAAAATATATAAGTAATCTAATTTTTGAATAGCTTTTATGACGTATAAAAGAAAAAAAAACATTGGAAATATTTTGATTATGGAGAATTTTACATTAATTACCGTAGATATACTGTTTTAACTGTCAAGCATCTTTATAATAATAAACAATTGTTTATAACCCAAAAAAAAAAATGATAAATAAGTTAGAAATTTTTGATTATAGTATTATTTTGACATAACATTTTTTGTAAAAATTCCCCCACAGCACCGAAACTTTCCTGAAAATTTAGTAAATATTTACTTGCAATATTTGGAATATGTAATTGCGCAATGTTTATTGAAAGTTATGTAAAGATTTAAATGTCCCACTTGAATAAATGTTTAGCGCGAAACTTTCCTGAACATTTATTTAATCGGGACATTTAAATCTTCACACAATTTTCACTAAACTTTACAATTAAATATTCCAAATATTGCAAGTAAATATTTACTAAATTTTCAGGAAAGTTTCGGTGCTGTAGGGGTTGTTTTATTGTACAACCAGTGGTTGTTGTACAATTAAAATTTTAAATTTTATTTGTAACAACTGAAAATAACAAGTTAAGTTATTCTTCAAATTAAAAGTATAACAATAGTACAAAATAATATTTTGGATTTTATTAGTTGTCATTTCGTTTTTTTATACAAAGATATTGTTTTAACTTTTAAGCTTCTTTATAATAAAACATGTACTTAAACAAATTGTTTGTAATTAAAAAAAAAAAACATTTTTCGCAAATCAAATAAGAATTTTCCACTACTGCATTTTTTTTTTATTTTATTAAATGTCGACAACAGTTAAAAAAATGGGTCAGTTTTTGTATAAATAAATAAATAAAAAATATTATAAAGGAATTAAAACCATAAATAATTTTTAGAACATTTACATATAACGATCAGAGAATTTACATGCGACATTTATATGGAATTGAAGATCAATAGTCATATTTATTCATTCGAAGTAAATTATATAAAACGTTTTTTCTTTGAAAGAAATTTGTAAACAATTGAAAATACGTGACCGAAAAAATTGTATTTTTTCAATAAATAAATAGATTTCATTTATATTTTTTTTCATTTGTATTTTTTCTTCAGAATTATTGAGTATACTTGACGCTCCGCAATAAAAGGTACCCAGTGGGCAAAAAACCATGTTCGTTTTAAAAACGTTTTAAGAACGTTTTTAGAACGTTTTTAGAAGTATCTTGAGTATAATGAAGTATCTTGTTTTAAGATGTTTTGGTAGCGTTTTTAAGACATTAAGATGTTTAAGATATCATGGTGTCTTATTGAAAACGCTACCAAAACATCTTAAAATAAGATACTTCTTTTTGCAGTATGATGTCTGCCAAATAATGTTCTGAAACATTTTAAGAACATACTCTCTAAATCTGAATTAGTAGAAAACTACTAATTAACAGTAAAACCGTTTACGAATAGGCCCTATTTCAATTAGTATAGAAAACAACTAATTTAACTGTCAAATTTAACTAATTATTTGTAAAAACCGCTGCCAAGTTGAAGTATGAACTTTTTGTATTCATAAAATGAACACTTTGCTTCCCCATGGAGATTTTTTGTGATCAATTTATGGTAACTTATTTGGTATTATAATTATTTTAAGAAGGTGTTAAGTTGTATTTTTGGGTATTTGCAGAGATAGATTTTTAACATCAATAACTTCGTAATATTTTACAATAAAAGGTTCAATAATAGGTCAATTGATTCGTTTTTAAATATTCTCCAAGTTGTTCATAATACTTTTAAAGATACATCAATATTTTTTAACAAATAAGGCAAAACAGGCAGGTTTTTCAAAATTTTTCAATTTCAAAATGTTAATAACTCTAGATAAAATAACAATAGGATATTCGCTAATAGGTCAAAAGATGCGTCTTGAAAAACTCTACAAAACTAGAGATAAATATTTATTGGTGTCAATACATTTTTTTAAAGTTATGGGCAAAAAACGTTTTTCTTTAATTTTTAAAAATTCAATAACTTTGGATAGAATATCAGTAGAATGTTCGCTAACATTTTTTTAAATTTATGGGTCAAAAAACGATTTTTCAAAAATTTTTAAATCCAAAAAAATAATAGTTAATTTTTATTAATATTGCTCAAAGTACTCTCATTATTTGTCCGTCAGTGAGACCTACAATTTAAAAAAAAAATATCCCTCTAGCTCTTATACCCAATCAGCAAGAAAACTTGCAGCAAACTTGCAGGAAGTTTGTCGTGCAAGATGTGCAAGATTGCAGTGCAAACATGTAGCAAGTTTGGTGCAAGCAACAAAGTGTCCTATTGTAGCAAGGTAGTTAAGCAAACTTGCAAAAAGCTTGCTGCAAGCTTGTATAATACTAAAAAAAAATTTTTCGAAACAATTTATTACTAAATAAACATAAAGGGCACCCTGCTTTTGAGGTTAAAAAATTTATTGCGCAGCCGTAGAAGCTTCCGTTTACAACTGCGCATCGTATTAAGTTTTGCAAAATTGCAGCATGCTTGCGCCAACGTTGCCCTGCAAGCTTGCCACAAGAGGACATTTTGTTGCAAGCTTCTTGCAAGTTTGCTGCAAGTTTTCAGGCTGATTGGGTAGTTTCGAGATATTTAAGAAAATGTAGTGTATATATATATATATATATATACACACACGGAACAACATTTTTTAAAAATGTGATTTTTTGGATTTCTGAGGTCGAAAAACATAAAGATACATAAAAAAATAAAGTTTGAAAAATTTCGGTATTATAATGCTTCCTCCATGAGGAAGCAAAAAAATACTAAAATATTTGGTAGACATAAATCTACTAATTTTTTAGTCATGTAACATAACCTAAAAATTAGATTAACTTATGAATTAGTCATTTTTGACTACACATTAATCATTACTGTTACTAATTCATTTAACAAACGAATCGGTGCTATTGAATTAGTCAAAAGTTACTAATTCAGATTTAAAGAGTATATAGATGTTCAAATAATGTTTTAGAACATTATTAATGTTAATGTTAATAATAATATATGGAGTTTTGCTCATTGGGTAAGCTCCCAAAATTTTTAGGTTACATTTTTGATTTTTGAAGTGAAAATACATAAAGATGGTCAACTCTTTATACATTATTAAAGTCTTTATTACATCTGAAATATTTAAAAAAATCGACTTTTGATTTTGCTTAATTAAAATATAGAAATTTTTATTAAGGTAAAACTATTACTAAATATAGCCTAAAAATTTTGGGAGCTTATAGGTACCTTTTGTCGCGGAGCATCATATAAATTTTTTATTTTATTTTAACATCGTTGCACAATAGAAAATCCCATAAAGAATGTTTTATATTCTGCGAGTATTAAAGGATTAATCTTCACTTGATTGGATATAGTTGCGCGTTTGTTTAACAATTAAATTCAATTTCCAAAACAAACCCCCCGAAGTGAAGATTGTCTACAATTAACAGCGCGAAATTAAAATTGATATTAATTTGTTTATATATTAGATATATATATGAATATATGTGGGAAATCATCATACATTTTGGTAAAATGTTTTTTTTATCGTTTTTAGATAAGACAATATTTTTGGCGGATAATTATCGTTAAATCATCAAAACATTAATATCAAAATGAAAGATAAATTTAACCGGAGCTGACACTATAATTAAAATTTCATTATGCATTATCACATTTATTTACTCTATAATTAGCAATCAAGAAAAAGAAAAAATTAATTATTGACTGTTGAATTTTTTTATAATCTTATGGTCCTTTATTTAAAATAAATATTGTTTTTTTCTTTAAATGGTTCGACCCTTGTAGAAAAGGTAAAAAAAAAATTTATTTTCTCTGTAAATTAAATAATTTTTTATTTCAGTTTAATTTTATCTAAAATTATGTAATTAAAAGAAAAATAAAACATTTTTACTGACGAAGACGATGAAAACATATAAAGAAAAGACTAATAATTTATTTCTAATAAAGGATTTAAAGTCACAAAAAATTTAACATTCAATTTTATATCATCTCATGGTTCACAAAATAAAATCATTTTACATTATAATTAATTATGTACTATTAAGTAATTTTACTAAAATTTTAATTAATATAAAAGGTAAAAAAAAAACGTAACAACTTTTTTTCAACTGCAATCTATGCAATACAAATATAATATATATCTTGACAAAATAAATCGCATGTATAAAAATAGAGCAATGGCTTCTTATCACTAAAAATGTGTCTCTCACCTTTATTTCTAACATATCAGCAGTAGTAATACTTTCATATAACTGCGCTCTGAACACGTATGACACGTTGATAAAAAGAAAAAAAATAATTTCGCTACTAAATGAACTTTAAAAATTAAACTGACATGATTTCAATACTTTCCCATTTAGTTATAGAATTAAAATTTCTTTTCATTTTAATTTATGATTTTCAAATTTTTTATCGACTTACTTTTTATTTATTTAATAATTTTTTTTCATTTATTAT